CCGGGTAGGGGGCCTCCTGGAGGCCGTACTGGGCGCGCATCTTGGTGCGGTAGAAGCAGGTGTAGATGGGCAGGAACCACCAGGAGGTGACCATCCCGATGAGCACGTACAGCGCCGCGCTCGCCCCGCTGGAGAGGGAGCCGCGGTCCACGATCTCCGCCACCAGCCCGAAGGTGACGCACGGGCAGAAGCACGTCATCCAGCAGTTCCCGGGGTCCTCGGCGCAGTCGAACAGGCCCGTGGACCAGGGGTGGACCGGCGGCTGCGCGTGCACCAGCGCGCGCGTCGCCGCGGCCGGTGCTGGCAGCTGCTCGGCGGCGTCCATGCCGGCCACGCGAATTGATTTTGATTCCTCCGGCCACCGGCGGGTGCTGTCAGCGCGGGCGCGGGTGTGGTGGCCTCAACAGGAGCGCCAAGGCTGTTTATATCATCGTCGATTCGGAGGTAGGTGACCATGCATCCAAACAACTCCGATCCCATGCATGCATGCATGCAGGATTAGTCCCATGCATGGCTAATCCCTATCTTTAGCTACAACGGGCAAAAATAAGTGCCACGTGATTTTCCTGTCCTTTCTCCCCACAAAAATAGTAGCACTAGTTTCAGTCAGTGGTACAAAATTTTCTCTTGAATTGTGACTTCAAGAGAAAACTAAATTTGTATACAAAACATCATATATGCTAGTATATGTTTTTCTTAAGCCGCAAATCGAAGTTGCTTTTCCCCCCTCAAAAAAAATCGAAGTTGCTTTTCAAATTTTGGGACATGGTACGCGCGTATATGTTGTGTCAATAATTTCAGAAACTTTTTATTATCACCTGCACAAAGAAAACTTTTTATTATCACAATAAAGAAGTGCTAATCGATCATCTAGTTTAATGTCCAAAAACATCTTACATTATGGAACAGAGGGAGTACTAAAAAATAACTCATCAGACGAGACGGCTCGCGAGGGCATGCCATGTATAGTTCGACCGAGCTCCTCGAAGAGAAGGAAGCAGACCCTTGCCACCGTCGGTCTTCCGCCGTGCTCTGCAGCGGCGGCGGCGGCCGGGTCCGCCTCCCCCTTTTCGCCGCCCGCTCGCCGCGGCTGCCACCACCACGTGGCGCGGGGAGGGAAAGTTGTGGCCATGGGGGTCGACGTGTTTGTGTGGGAAAGTATCAGGTGATACCAGTCCTTAATTTAACACTATTCCCATCTGAATTTGTCTTTTTTTATTTCTCTTTGTGTATGTCGAATTTTGACCTGGATTTTTTAGCGGTTGTTGACATATGCGTTTTGAGCATCCATGATTTTTTTTCAGAATATTTTGACATGTTCAAATTTGAATTTTGCAAGTTGGTAGGATGGTAGCGTCTAAGAGTTGGTATCACCATATTTTCGTTTCCCGTGTTTGTGTAGGCTAGCATCTGGGCCGTGTGGAAATCAATGGAGAAAATTTTCGGAGTGGCATTGGAGCGTGACAAATGGCGAGAGCGAGCTCGGAGAATTGGCAGCGCCGGGAGGGATGGGTCCTGGCTTTGGACGGCTGGGATGGTTGCGTTTGGGATATGGACGGTAGATTTTACACGGGATTAACAGCAACTTGAATGAAAAAAAATGAACCGGACAAGGATGGATCGGGGATATTGAACCCGACGTGAATCGAACACGCAACCTTCTGATCTGGAGTCAGACGCGCTACCATTGCGCCACGGATCCGGTGTGCCTATTCTCACAGATTATCTTATAGTATCAGCGGACATCCGTCAGGTACTTTTCTGTCAGATTCGTGTATGCATTGTGACAGGACAAATAAATTTGGTGGCTCCGGGGCTGTGGAAGCTAATTCGACTTGGCAGAACGTTCGGAGGTTGAGCTATCTCGTGTCCAGACAAAGTTTAGATTCTCCTAATCCTAAGGAAGATGGAACCCTCCAATGCAGAGCTATATTGGCAGATACCAAACACGTCTCAAAATCGCACCAAGATGCCTGGCTCGCGATGATGGTGCAAAAGCGCTGAAACATGTGCTATTCAGAGTTTCGAATGCAAAAGAAGCAACCGTTGTGTGGGACATTACATTACACTTCGTTCTCGAACCAAACACACCCTTAGACACCGGGGAGGTGGTTGGCCTGGCATGCTCCATGCATCACCAAGGGGAGTTAATTCTGGCGCACCCTCTTGAGGATACGAATGGAAGAGCTGCCGTCCTCGGCCAGGGAAGGCCTCATCTTATTGTTGTTTATTGATTAAGTAACAACATTACAAAGAGTCTCCCGGATACGATCCGGAGCAGAAAGAAAAACACACAAAGCACTAGAATCTTTACATGATTTAGCTAACAAATGAGCAGCCTTATCGAGATGCCGACGAATATGCTTAAATACCACCGAATTGGAACCACTTTGTCATATGCTTGATATCAGACACCACCGAGCCAACACTCGATCGATCACGTGAAGAAGAATTGAGTCTTTGCACTGAGGACAAGCAGTCATATGCTTGGTATCAGACACCACCGAGCCAACATTACCAAAATCTCTCTCATGGGCCAGATAAGCAGCACGGCGAAGTGCTAAACTGCTAATGCTTCTGCCATTTCAGGCGTATACTTGGTGGGAGCCAAGAAAATTAGTCCACAATGAACACACGCAAGATTCTCTCTCAGCAAGTGGCTAGATCAATTGAGGCTCTGGTAGCAAACTATGCTGCTCCTTACTGGGTGCGAACTTATGGTGCTCGTTTTTTCTTTTGAAAAAAAAACAAAAAAACATGCTTAAAAGTTTCAAAAAAAAATCTGTGCAAAGTTCACTGCGCATCCATGAAAATTTGTCTTGAAAAAATGTAATTTGTAAGCTGTATTAAAAACAAAATTCCGGCCCAAAAATAGACAAAAATCAGCCCGTTTGAAAAATGTAATTTGTAAGCTGTATTAAAAACAAAAAAACATGCTTAAAAGTTTCAAAAAAAAATCTGTGCAAAGTTCACTGCGCATCCATGAAAATTTGTCTTGAAAAAATGTAATTTGTAAGCTGTATTAAAAACAAAATTCCGGCCCAAAAATAGACAAAAATCAGCCCGTTTGAAAAATGTAATTTGTAAGCTGTATTAAAAACAAAATTCCGGCCCAAAAATAGACAAAAATCAGCCCGTTTGAAAATCCCAGCCGTCCAAAGCCAGGACTCATCCCTCCCGGCGCTGCCAATTCTCCGAGCTCGCTCTCGCCATTTGTCACGCTCCAATGCCACTCCGAAAAATTTCTCCATTGATTTCCACACGGCCCAGATGCTAGCCTACACAAACACGGGAAACGAAAATATGGTGATACCAAACTCTTAGACGCTACCATCCTACCAACTTGCAAAATTCAAATTTGAACATGTCAAAATATTCTGAAAATTATTTTGAACATGTCAAAATATTTTGAACATGTCAATTAGTCCACAATGAACATGTCAAAATTTTTTGAACATGTCAAAATCAGCCCGTTTGAAAATACACATTTCTCTTTTTTCTGCACGCCACGTGTGAATGTATACATTCACACGTGGCATGCAGAAAAAAGAGAAATGTGTATGTGTGTGTGTGTGTGTGTGTGTGTGTGTGTTTATAAAAAAAAATCAACTTTTTTTATGTTGCAGAAATTGTATTTTTTAAAACGGGCACCAAGGTGCCTGCTCACCGTTGGTATTATCCGGCTGCTTACTCTCCTAAAACAGCTTTGCAACGAGGAGGATGGACCCTTCCAACCAACAGATATGTTAAGCTGAACTTTGATGCGCCATTTGACGAGGACACGTTAAGGAGTGAGTGCTAATCGTTCAGTTATTTGAGACCCCCCCCCCTCCCCCCACCCACACACACACACACTCCCATGTCAGATTTCAAAATCACATTCTTGATACCGAGGGGATTATTTAAAAAAAGTCATTTTGGCGGACGGGCGCATTGTTGGAGCGCTATATTTTGAATAGTGTCAAAATGATATTTTGAAGTTTCAAAATATTCCAGAAACAATTCCACATGTGCAAATCCTGATGATGAAATAAATAACCATGTGAGTTACAAACAAATGACAAAATCGTGATTTTTGAAAGATGAACAGTGCATGTGTTATTCACTATTTAGATATAGTCATGTTTTGCATAGCTTACATGCTTACTTATTTCATCACTAAACTTTACACATGTGTGAACTAACACATAGGTTGACTCACGCAGCCGCCGCCTCCTCCTAAAAAGATACTAGGGTTCGTTCCTTTCACTGCCTCCGCCGCAAGTCCGCCTCATCTTCGGTGGCCCTAGGGCCATGGGGGCATGGTGGATCCTGGCAAGGGCCGGTGGGAGGGTTTGGTTGTTAGTCGTTCCTTTGAGATTTGTTAGGGAGGCGAAACGGCGGCGGCTCCCTGAAAATGGAATAAAGGTCTCCCCGCCTAGCCCCGTTCCGGTGGTGCGTCTAGCATTATTGGTGTTCGTTGTACTGTCATGATTGGAAATGAATAGGTTGAAAGTTTTCTCGTAAAAAAAAATTTACGCAGGTGTAATATCCATCCATATGATCATGTAGAATTATTTTCGGGATTTTTCAATATTTTAAATGTGGTTCTTAAATAAACCATTTAAAATAAAGTCCTCCAATGCTCTCATGTTCCAAAAACCCACTCTCGTCACTTCGAGCCATACAAGAACTCTCTTTATTTTGAAGGTAGAACTCGCTTGGTGGTACTAGTACACCTAATTATATATATACACAAATCCAAACGTATAAATCTACGCCCGGTTTGGTGAGGTTCACATAAATTGTTTTTGCTCTCGATGGAGTCTGATTACTCCTCGAAATTGTGGTTTCGCTGTCGCAGAGACCCGAGCTGTGGTTGTGTCTGAACTGAACTGGAATTGGGCCGCTGACTGCAGTGAAACTCCCGTACGTGTTCCAGAGCAGCCAGCGTCCAGCTCTGCGCTTGCTTTTAACTACGTGGCCGCCGCCTATCTGTCACGATGCACCGCCGGATCGGATCACCAGCCGCCTTTGCCGATGAGCCCGCCGCTCTCGGCGCGCCGGTACGGCCGCCGGGGGCTCTTGAGCAGCGACTTGTCCTCGATGGGGAGCCGGTAGGGCGACACCCGGAACCGCACGGCCTCGCGCCGCCGCCGCCGCTCCCTGGTGTGCACCACCCACGCCACCACGGCGGCCGCCACCGCCACCGCCACGGCCGCCAGCGCCCGGTACACCCTGCCGCTGTGCCGCCGCAGCCCGGGGCAGCCGTCGGCCACCACGGCCTCGAACGTCCGCCGCACGAACGTGCAGTCCGCCAGCTCCGCCAGCGCCGGCCCGTAGTCCACCAGCCCCGCGCTGGCGTTCGCCACGGCCAGCGCCTGCGCGTACATCGACGGCGTGAGCCGCCCGGGCGTCGCGCACGTCTCCTGTGATTGTCCCGGCGCGCCGGACACCTGGCACACGTGGCCCCGCCACGCCTGCGGCGCGAAGGCGGCCGGCACCTCGCCGGCGGCGCAGGGGCGGTCGGAGAGGTCGGCGCGGTAGGGGCTGCAGAGGAGCGGCACCGGCGGGCCCGACTGGTTGTAGTTGAGGGGCGGGCCGGCGCCCGGCGGGAAGGCGTTGGCGTTGGAGACGTTGGCGAGCACGTCGTTGAGGGTGGCCACCAGCTGGTGGTTCACCTCCTTGCTCCGGCGCAGCGCCTCCGAGGTCGCCGCCGCGTCGGCGCACGGGAGGATGTCGTCCAGCGCGGTGCTGTTGCTGCTGTCCGGCGGGCGGAGCACCCATTCCTCCATGGCCACGCAGGTGTCGCCCAGCGCGCTGAAACGCACACGAGCAGAGGCTCCTCTGTCAGTCACTCAGTTGAGCAGAATTCAGACAAAAAAATGCATAGCACATAATTGACAAATTTGACTTTTGACGCATGGGATTTAATATAAATATATGTTAGTAGGAGTATAAATAACAAGTTACTTCCCGTAAAGAAACATAATAATGATTTAAACACTTTTATATTTCTTTACGGAGGGAGTACGTACGAAGTTTTCTGATCAAACAAGAAATCAGATGATAGAAATACAATAAAGCTTGGCTTACTTGTGCAGGAGAAGGAAAACGCCACCGAGTATAAACGTTGCGGTAACGAGGATCCATCCCAGAAACACTAGGCTGCAAATTCACAGCAATTATATTTTCTACTGTATTAGCTTGCAAATACTATGTGTGTATTGTAAAGGCTATAGTGGAAATCAAGGAATGCATATGTGTAATTAAAATCTGGAGTGAAGAGGATGTTGTGCAAACTTACAAGCGAACGACTGAGCTGAGGCCAGCCAACGAGAACACTGCAACAAGTTGACGACGAAAAAAATGTTATTCCAGTAATTATCCATACTTTTTTATTACAGAAATTACAAAATTGGTTCTGTTTTTTGTTCTTATGGGAATTGCTAAACTTTTAGTTGACTGAGTCACCTAGGATTGCAAAGTCAAGAAGTTGATAGTTTTCTATATTCACCAGAAAGTTAAGCAGGCATGATTTAACCAAAAACTTAAGCAACTTTTAGAAAAATATACAATTTCTGACATCATAAACCGTATATGTCTTTGTCCTAGATAAAAATCTCACCGAGGCCCAGGAACGCGAGCACCAGCATCACGGCCGCGACGCCGATCAGGATCTTCCTTCTGCAATCACACACACCAAAAACATCATCATCATCAGTTAATCAGTCCATGGCTTGATCGATCGATCATCGATGTATACACGAAACGTACGTGGTGTCGAGCACGGTCCGGATCTTGCGGGCGTTGCTGGCGGTGCGCGCGGCGAGCTCGTCGGCCGCGGCGCCCACCCTGCTCGCCACCTGGTCGACCTTGGCCCCGAGGTCGCGCGGCATGGCGGCGCCGCCGGAGGCCTTGGCCGTCTCGATGAACCCGGCGAACCCCCGGAGGCTCGCCGCCGCGCCGTCCGACTGGCGCACCACGTAGCGCAGCGTCCCCGACGTGCTGCCGTCCAGCTTGGCCTGCCCGTCGTACAGCACCGCGCACCCGACGCTGCGTTTACATACACAAGCTCTGATCAGCTTAGTTCATAGATAGACTTAGCTTCCATATGGTAAAGAGAATATGGAGATTTTGAGGTTGCTTACATGGCGGTGGCGGTGAAGGCGAGGAGGAGGAGGAGGGAGGCGGCGAAGGTCTTGCGCGAGTAGGAGTAGTCGTCGTCCCTGGTGGGGCTGCCGCGGCAGCACCGGCAGCAGCAGGCCACCAGCGCCGCGAGCGCAAAGCCGACGAACCAGACGGCCCCGGCCGCGAACACCGGCGACGCGCTGAAGGCCACCGACTGCAAGCAGCATGCATCGACGGCGGCACACGTGAGCACAAACGAGCACAACCAGCGCAAGCAAAGACGTGGTTAGGGGAACCGAAACGGATGGACTTACGGCGATGTAGTGCCGGTCGCTGATGTTCCAGCCGCGGTGGTAGGGCCGGAGCCCGTCGAGGGGGTCCTTCCGGCGCGTCCGCTCGGCGGCCAGCGGCTCCGCCGCCGAGCCGGCGCACAAGGAGGAGGCGAGGAGGGCGGCGAGGAGCAGGAAGAGCGCGCGCCGGCGAGACGACCCCATGGCTGGCCGACCGGACGATGGTCAAGACAAGATCGAGCACTATTTCACTGGCTTGGGAGTTGGGACCGAGATCATCGATCCTATATATCTTCTGCATACATAAACGGCAGTGAGAAAGAAAGATATGTCGTCGGACCAAAGTGATCGGAGAAGTGGTCGTGGTGTGGTGGTTCAATTAGATTAGCTTGTACTAACCCCAGACCATAACACTGGTGATTTGGACGCGTGCATGCATGGCAGCCCGAGCCGGGTCGATCGGTACGTCATGCTCCCAAGCAAAATGTATGTGGACCGTTTCGCTTGTTCGTCGCTGCCAAACGCAACACGCTTTCGGCTCTCGTTTCTGTGCTTCCTCCGGTCTAAAGTACGCTCCAACGCATTGTTTATTATATTATACTTTCTCCGTTCCAAAATAAGCGTCTCAACTTTGTACTAAGCTTAGTACAAAGTTATACTAAAGGTAAGACGGTTATTTTGAGGCCAAGGGAAAACTAAGAAACACTAAGCTGTTTTATATTATTATTATGCTCAAAAGGAAAACATTGGTGATCTGCGTTTCAAAAGATGATACCTGACAAAATAGAAAAGGTACCTGGCCGGTTGGTCCCCTCACGTCTTCACGTTCCCCTCTGCCCCACTATTCAATAAGATCCCATGTGCATGCATTGATTTGGAGCTTCAAAATTTTCTAAAATCCGTAACTTTTGACTCGAGTGTTGAATTTCAATTCTGTTTTCACCATTGTGTTTGTCGCGATGAGTTCTTCAAAACTAGATCCCATATCGATATGTTTCGACAAACTTTTTTTTGAAAGCAACTTTGGATGCTGCTCAGGCAACTTTAGTGCTATAAAAAAGCAACTTATTATTAGTATGTGTAGTATGATCGCATATCAATGAAAATCCCTTTGAAGTTGACTATCATGACTACCAAGTTAAATACCTTCACCTTTTAAATTTCCTACTATAACTAGCATGTAGTCTATCATAACTAGCTTCGTCGCTAAGGTGGTGTTTGGTTCTCTAGTCCTACGACTTTTTCTAGTCCCTAGGACTTTTTGAAAAAAGACTCTCAAGGAGGTGCTTCTAAGGATTTTTAGCAAAAAGTCTCACCCTGTTTGGTTTGCTAGGGACTTTTTCTAGTCCCAACACAAAAAGTCGCTGGAACCAAACACCCCCTAAGTTCGTAGTATTGTAGGCAACTTAGTTTTCAAGGTAGGCTAATAGTACCCTAAGGTGGCTACCATGACTAGCTAGTAGCTTAACTTCATCCTTGATTGCATACAACTTAGTTTCATATATAGGCGACTTTGGACCTAAGTTAATAACGCTACTGAGCATGCACTTGTGGGCTAGCCAGGTCACGAGTGTTAGATGAGAAGTTGCATAGGGGTAATGACAAGGGGACAGATTAGACAATTGCCCACAAACCTATGCAAGTTCTTAATTTTCGGTCAAGTAATCTGCGAAAATATTAAAATCTTCAGATATAATGATGCAAAACACACATGAGTTGGCTAGTCAGGTCAAAACTAAACCCCGTATAGATATGTTTCTTTGAAAAAAATTCTTTCAAAAGCAACTGTAACGCTGGATGAGGCAACTTTAGTACTAAACAGAAGCAACTTCACTCCTAAAAATAACTAATTAGCAACAATAAGCAACTAACTAATAATACAAAACAACTTTGAATCTGAGGTGGATAATATCACATCACCTTCGTAAGCAACTTTCCATTGATAAGAGGCAACCTTAGTGCTAAAAGCAGGCAACTTCACTACATTTTGTGTCCTAGTTAATTTTATATAATATTCTCCTAACTTCCTCACTGGTACTTCTAAGTTGCCTATTGTTCATCCTTGTATGTCGTCATTGTTTCTAAATGGCCTATAATACATGATGCTGAATCTTGACCACTTCAGAGTGTTTGTAGGCAACTTAGAAAAACAATGATAAAGAACTTCATAATATTGTAGGCAACTATTTTTGCAAAGTTAGGCAACTGAGAAGCAATTGTAGGCAACTAATTATCAATAGTAGGCAACTAGGCATCAATATAGGCAATTTATATGCAATTGAACATCAACCGTAGGCAACTAAGTATCAACAATAGGCAATTTGAGCAACCGTGATAGACAAGTTGGGATAATGTTATCAAACTCACAGATACACATAGTATAGTGAAATTACTTTGTATGTAGCACTAAAGATGCCTTATATTTTGTGTGATTTTTCTCGTTTTTACGCAAACCAACCTAATAGTCAGTCCAACCAGGCGAAAAAGAAGAAGTTGCTTCCCTATAGCACTATAGTTGCCTTAATTGCATCCAAAGTTGCCCTCAAAAAAAAAGTTTGACGAAACCTACTCATATGAGATCTAGTTTTGAAGAACTCGTCGTAAAAAACCTGACGGTGAAAGCGGAACTAGATTTTGATGCTTGAATCAAAAGTTATGACTTTTACAACTCTCTAAACCCCAAATAAATGCACTTGGGGACAGGATTTAGGCTGATTCAATCGGCACCCATGTGCGCTACGGGGTGTGGACAAACAATTTCCTTTTCTAGCATGGATAGCTAGACACAAGGACATGCACTTACTATATATGGTGATGCGCTCCAGACAGGGCAGCGGCGCTTCCTAGCCACGTCCAACAATAATAATCTCCTACGCATGTGTAGTAACCTTCTTTTTTTACAACAGCGGAGGTAATATCTCTCGGTATATGCATGCATCATAGTAAGATACGTAGCTTTGTTTCTATGAAAATTACGTAATCCGGAAGATTGGTGGCATCTAGTGATGACACACAAGATCAAGTACAATATGGCCACAACAGCCGAACAAGGTGTGAAAGAGTCCCGGTACATGTCCAAGCAATTCCATGTCCACATGGGGCAATCCAAACACCCTTCACTCGTTCCAAGGCTGCATTTTCCTTAGGTTTGCTTCCAACTTCCAAGTTATTAATCCCTCCGTCATGTAATATAAGATGCTTTTACAAGTTATAAAATGGCTTGCAAAAGCGTCTTATATTATGAGACGGAGGGAGTACAATCAAACCAGCCACTACTTCTCAAGAAGCGATTGAGGGATGTGCACATTTGTTGTACATAGTTCGCGGAATATTACTCTTTTATTTACTCTGCACATTACCTTTATTTTATTATAAAATTAATATAAATATTTGCAATAACAAATATATATGATGTAAACATATATTACATGATGAATCTAATGTTGGTATTGTAGATGTTTAAAAAAACAATAAAGTTTACAAAGTGTGACTTAAAATAAAGCTAATATGGCGAGTAAATAAGAAAGGGCGGAGTGGGAAGTGCATCGATGAACCCACTTTGAAAATTACATTTCTAAATGTTAAAAAAATCTGAAAAGGTTTGCACTGTTATGTCTTCATGATTTATGTGCGTGCATAAAGTTTAATGGAAAAATAACTTTTTTGTGGCCTCTGCAAAAAAGAAAAAAAATTGTGTCGTAAAACGCTATTTAGAAGCACTGAAACTTGTCTTTTTTGCAGAGACAAAACGAAAAGACACTTTTTCACAAAACTCTGTACCGCGCACACATATTTGCAGACATGTATGCGTGGAATTTTCTTTTGAATTTTTCGACATTTTAAAATGTGTTTAAAATGCATTTTTCAAAAAGTGGGTGCATATGCCCATGGGTTCAGGACGTGCCTACTCAGGGGGGAATAGGGCAACATCATGGGCATAATCACATTTTATGATGCCAAGCGAGAGAAAAGGTCCTAGGTAGTAAACCATTTTTAAAAAAAAGATGGTTACTCATCTGTTACATCACCAGGCCTGGTCACAAGTCTCCATTCAAAGCATGCACATCTCATTCAGCAACTCAAGTAATGTTAAAAGTATAGAGAGGCAGGTAAGCAACTTGTACCTGATAAATAACCCAATCTACACGCTTTGACTTTGGACATTTTGCACAGTATAACCTGTCATCACGCAATAACCTTCACCCACCATACCATTGCTGATTCAAACATCAGTGATTAGACCAGACCAGGTGCAACCCCAGGCACGTGCTTTGCTTGACCATTTCTGCATCTACATATCCAGGACGTACAACTACACCATCTGAATATTCACAAAAGTTATACCGCTACGTTTTTACAGCAAGAGGCCAAATAGTTACAGCGGAACCTCTGCGGCTAACCTAGAGCTTGTCTACACTCTCCCAAATTTTCTTTTACCTCCTATGTATTTTTCTGAGTCCCGAGGCAGCAAGAAACAGGCAAAAATAACTGGGATGAAGCTAAAAAGAATGTACAAGTGTGCCATCCCTTCCCTCGCTACCGATCAGCAATCTATGTTAGGTAGTATCTTGTTACTGCGCTAGCCCCTCGATCGCACTTTCGGCGTCGTCGAGCGCATCCGCGCTTTCCTCGAGAAGGCAATTGCAGATCTTCAGGAGCTGGTCGGCCAGCGGAGGGATGTGAGGATGCCGCGTGTCATTGTAAATGTGCGCATTCGTTGCTATCTGTGCAACGTCATGCCTGAATTCCTCCCTGTTTCTGTACTCCATCTTCCTCGCCTTGTCCCTGATGGTACCCAGATCCATTGGGCGCTGGATTATGTCATAGTAATCGGGAGCGACTTTCTTCGTCACTGGTTTAAGAAACAGCAACGATATAGAAGTTTGGTTCCGCAAGAGGTCAACTATCTTCTCCAATATGTTGGAGAGCTCAACCTGCATCAGATGTGTAAAAAAAAAGTTCAGTTTGAACGTGGTTGTAGACAAACATTATTAATTCCTGCATCATGTAACTCCTTGTGGAGACGGAATCAGCAAAAACGGTTGTAGACAAACATTATTATTAAACAATGTACAATTCCACCAAACATGAGCGGAAACATCAGAACAAGTACCTCTCCTCCTCTGCGCCGCTTGACCGATGGAGCATTTTCTGTCATATCAGCTGGGGTACGTCTCTTTGTTGCTCGATCTCTTTCAGGTACCCTTCTGTCATTTCTGTACGGCCTGTGATCAAGAACGTCATCATCTCGAAATTCGTGTCTTTTCTTTTTCTTGTTTTTCCTCTTTGACTTCTGGAGCTCTTCCTCCCTGCTTAGTCCTTGCATCCTAGCTTGAATTAGCCTCCGTTCCTGTATCACTCGCTGCTCTTTAAAAGCACTCCAGGATTCATCACTTCCTACTACTTTGCTTTTCCTGTTACCATCCAGACCCAACCTATCCTGAGAGGAATTCATTTGGCAGGGCTCTCCAGCATACCAACCATCATTCTCTCTGATGTTCTCTTTAAAACTTGGCAATTCAGAAATTTTCCTTAGCTTTCTGGGTTCCTGACCACTCCTATTTTCAATAACTGTTAGCTGGCCCACATGCCCTTCAGGCTGCTTGAAAATGACCTTCTTACGAGGTACATCCTTCTCTGCCTTAGCAGGAAGCCGTATCACGATTGATGGCTTAGGAGTATCAGGAGGATAGTCTTCAGACTTGGTCTTACTGCATATTTTAATTTTGCTCGCATTTCCAGTAGATCTCAAATCATTAGCATCCATTGTGAGTTTATCAGAAACCAAAGAACCTGCCACTGACATATTCCTATCCAAGGACTTCTCAGGTGCACCACATCTGAATTTTACTGGTTTGATCATTTCAATGCAATCGGGCCCTTCAGTTTCAGGAACTTCAGAAGAAACCTTGGCTACCAACCTCCTGCCTGGTGGCTTCGTTGTTTCAACATAACTTGCCTCGTCAAAAGGATTAGATATGTAGGAAATCACATCCAATCCTGAGGTTTCTGGATCCTGCCCATACTTGGCGCAAAGTTTGTTGTTCCGCATGTGCCCAAGCTATGCAATAACAACATGACACAAAGTCAGGGGGAAAATTCAGAACGTGCGAGTAATTCAATGTACCATGCCCTTACCTTTCCACAAGCTCCACATATAAGACTGTCCACCTTTGCTCCCTGCCTCTTTTCCTATAAAGAAAGGCAAGCCACATAAGAATAAATAAAGGAAGATACTCCCTCCTTCCATCTATATAGGGCCTAATGCTTTTTTCAAGGCCGCCTTTGACTATTGACAAGATTAATAGTACATGACATGCATAATGTGAAAATTATATCATTGAAATCTCCTTTCACATACGAATTTAATGGTATGCTTTGTGTAAGTTGCATGTCATATATTATTGCCCTAACATTTGGTCAAAGTTAACCTCGAAAACCGCATTAGGCCCTATATAGATGGAAGGAGGGAGTATGATCACTGCTATATTAAATGATACTGCTATTAAAACAAGTCTAGAAGTTCAGAACATGAACCATAGATTCTTGATACAAATTCAGTATGGCGACAAAAATGAATCGGAAACAACCAAGACTAGGTTTAGAACTTCAGATGAACTTCTGATACCTCTTTCACTCCTCTTGGCGTGCTCTCCTCTAGGGCCAATGCACTTTGACTGGGCTTCGTTTTATTGGCACCCTGGTTAATGGTTATACATAGAGATGCCATAATTTGTCATTTCCACAGGTTCTTTCTTCCTCTTTATGTCATTACCACTCTCTGCAACATGATAGTCCATCAATAACAATTACTAAACTTGGTACTTGGAAAGCAAAACTATGAAAGTAGCAATCAACGACCTTCGAGCAATTTTTTTACTAGAGCAGCTTCTGCCTGATCATCTTGATTTTCCTTGTTAAATTGGACTTGAGTAGAGCCTTTTCTCATTTTAAGCCCTTCCATATCGTCTCCTTTATCACTTCTCAGATCTGCAGTACCAACATCTTCATTGTCAAATTCTTCAGCATCCAGTAAGTTTTCAAGATCCCCAGCAAACGAGTCCAAATTGCTCTTGGCTTCTGTATCACTGCCATTGTCATCACCGTCTATGGCAGAAAGTGACTGAAATTGTCTGTCCCAAATTTCCTGACATTTCTCTTTAGCTTGGTGATGAAGCTGCAGAAAAGACATCCTTTGTCCACGTGCAAACTTGCTAACTGGAATTTCATCAATCATAATTCCTGACGCTGCTTGCTCACTTGAAAGCTTCCTCACCATAGCAATTCGATGCCACCTTGTTAATTTATCAATTTGTTCGTCTGGAACGCCAAACTTGAGAAGCAACTATTTGCAATATTATCAATGGAAAGCATTAGTGAACAAACTGTAAAAAGACAGAAAAATAATGTGTGCCATACATGTAAATACGTCAGATTGTCTACCATGGTCAATCACATGTGGGAGTGGATCCCACTTCTCGTTGTCATAGCCAATGGCATTTTGGCCACTATACATCTTCTTTTACTGTATGGAGGTAATTATTCCGTTTTTTGCAGGGATCAACATATAACTTTCCTCACAAACTAGTCAATAAAATAATCATGTGAAAGACTACCAATAGACATCTATGTTTTTACTGATTCATGTTCCATGATCTTAAGTCATGCCAACGCCTGGAACCCCCTCGCAATGTCAATGTGTATAGTGCTGATAGATGGTACCTCTCGGGCAGCATCCATGCTCAACCTGCGAAGATCAGCATCCGTCCCAGTAACAGTGGTGCCTTTGGCTGCAGCCGGCTTTTTCTTATGAGGTAAATTGGAGACAGGATTTACTCGCACATAGCTAAATCCTAGCCCACGGCCAGATGGATCACCAATACCAGAGATTTCTAGCCTTTCTATACTTTCTCTGTCCTGCATACATGCAAAAAAACTATATTAGAACAGTTGAGCCGAATCACACACCGATAGACAAGGAACACTAATAATCTACTACATTTTTATTTATTTTAAAGAAGGCACATACAAACGTGCATTTAAGACATATATACATGCACCATCCAGCAAGATCTGCCACTGATCTGGGCAGGAAATATAATACTGGTCACGCAGATCATACAAAAAAGTATCTCTCTGAACACCCCATTCTGCCAGGATAGAGTTTGTCATGGTGTTGCTGTAGTGGATACCGTTCGAGCTCACAGGGGAGAAGGCTGATCCCTCTGTGTGTTTCTCCGCCATATCTCTAATTTCTTTGTCCTCAAAATTCTCTCTCCCCTACCCGCTTCATTGGTCTCTCCTCACCATTATGTATGTGCCCCCTCCACTAATCTCTGCCCTCTCATTTGGTTCATCTCCCATCTCCTTATTTGCCTTTCTATGCACTCTCCATCTCTCTTCCCCTCTACCCTGTACCCACTAGGTATGACCATACCCGCTCAGCATAACCGCTTCAGTAGGTACAACTGAATAACCTACCAGTGGCAGACTACACCCTTGCACCCAAAAGAACTTAAGACTGGTAGAATCAAAATCAAGCAATGTGAAAGGGCTAGCTCAGCACATACACAAATTTAGTGCATATATACACACACCGAATACATTGCACAGTGTTTGGCTTTGATCAATGATCATCAGTACTACACTACGTTGTTTCACCTATCTGCAAGATTGTAATTTTGTTCCTTCTTTCTCTTTTCTCTTAATCCCACTGTATTAAACGGACTTTGTATAGGTCTCAGTTTTATGAAGTGGTTCAAGCTGGCGTAAACCCGCGAAAGTCCCCATCATCAAAATAAAAAAATCACTACTCCATCAGTCCAAACAGGACTGGAATATCCCAATGTACCATTGTGAAATTAGGAGAACATATGGTGCACCGAGGCTTGTGGTGCACCTGATGAACCCATTCTCAGTAACCCTATGCAGAAGTTTTATAAAAAACTGAAAAAACAAAATCATGGATGTAGACAGACGACATATCTACCATGTTACAAGATTTCAAATCCAACTGAAGAAACAAAAACTGGGCTGCGCCCAGCCCACTTTCACTGTAAGCACTGGATTTGTCATTTTTGTATCTGTGACCCCTTTTTTCCCAGAAAATTTTAACAATTTCAGATAGGGCAACCGAGGCCGGGTGCACCACAACTGCAGGTGTACTGGATACACTCTCATGTAACTAGTCACTTACTCGCCTGTCATTTCCATCTTAAACTGAGATTTTTCCTGTAGCTGCATGGTAGACTTGTTCATACTCTCTCAATATATATTCAGCAAACCATAACAGATGAAGGTTATCCATGGTATGTCTAGAACACATCAAAAATATTTTTTGCGCCAAAAGTGGTTTACTGGTTTTAGTTCCACAAACTATCATTAAATGGGCAAATAGGTACCTGGTTCATACAAGCAACAAAATTACTGGTAAGGTTCCAGCTAGTGATTTGCAATTCCCTCTCAATATGTGCTGCAGCAGCAAGCTCAATTGCCTTATCGGGAAGCTGATCCATTGCGGAAGCCAGTCCCACAGGCTGAGTAAGCTTGTGGATTCCTAAATGCTTGAGACGATGCTGAGCAGCTTGCATACTCTCATGACAGCAGACCTGAAGTGGAAGTTTTAAACTTTCAGTTACCATATACTCAATAGCAAGATAAGACACTACTTCCAAAGCAAAATTAAACTATAGAACAAGGACTACTTCAAAGCTCGTTTTCTTCTCACGTTACACGTTATTAGAGAGATAATACTTCCAAGCTTTTGCCGCAGACGCTCGGTTAATCGCTGATTGTTCCATGGGTTATCAGTTTGTATTGGAATGCTGGATGCTTAAATAGTTAAATGGATGTTCAGTGATATGCTTCTAAACACCTTTATAAGCACCAACCGTTGCAACTGAGATGCTCTAAGAGTAAAATGCATGACCTTGCTTGTCAATCACACCACTACACACATATATATATATTCAGCCCATGGATATGATGAAACAACTCGTGGGTATCTTTATTTACTTAAGAGAAGTACGAACAAATGGTTGTCTTGACCTAGCCGCTAATCTTGAGCAAGTCATGGCCACCATTTACATCTGAAGTACTCCCTAGAAAGATATGTCTTCTGCTTTATCTAACAGTCTATACAAGTGCCAGGAATCTCCACAGCACACAACCTCAGCTTACTAATTTTCTCGAAAATGCAATTCACTAAACACCAGTTATTAATGTTACTCTGAAGTTAATAAGAGTGCTGAAACTGACAGTCATCTCTTATATTAGAATTAAATATAAGGCCTAATTTTCATTTGGTCTTCATTCAAAATAAAGAGTTCACTTCAAACCCCTGTATTGTGTCAAGAGGGGGAGGTTTAAGCAATTGATCATCCCTATAACAAGGAATACTTGGCGCAAGTTTTCTATGTCCTTGATTTTGCAATTCATTCATGCACGAGGGTATGGGGCTTTGGAATGGCGGAACTGAGTAGCTGATCAAGTTGGTGATCCTTATATAGCATGCGTTATGACTGACCAGCACAAACATTTCTTTAAGAGATGAGACTGTCAATTGTCATCAAGAGACAAGAAGTAGTTGTTTGTCACAAGTGACAAAAAGAATTTTTGAGAAACTCACACTTTCTGGTGACAACAATCTTCTAAGTTCATCCTCTGACGGAATTCGAAAGTCAGCTCTCTGTGTCCAGAAAAGATGTCCATTGGGTCCTTTCTGTTTAAATGAATGCAGGAGAGCATTAACTAAAACAAAAGTCCATAGCTGGAAAACAAAAGGATATTACAGATACAGCTGCTGAAGTAATAAACATAGGTGATAGATCTACCTCCAGGTCTGCACAATGCTTCAATCCTTTTCTCACAATAACTTCTGTCAGAGGATGCTCAATAGGTATTTCATCAGCTCGAATCTGAGAAAGAACACCAGGCCTCTCCCTAACACGGAATTCACGATATACATATACGAGTATTCGATTCAAAAGATAATTCTGCAGATTTTTCGGTCGTGGTGAAAATACTTCCATATGTGGTTCCTGCCAGGAGAGAACAAATCTATCATTTGATGGATGAAACTGTTCAAGATTTATCGCAAGTATATCCTATCCCAGAATGATGAGATGCAAGAAATAGCAAAAAATGCTAATTTATGGATAATGTAGCAATGCTTAGTTCAAGATTTTCCAGCATTACAAACTTGCAGCACAATAAATAAATAAAAATAACCAAAGCAACCAATCCAAAATTAGTTGCTTTCAAGTAAAAACTCCAAAAGTCAAAAGAAAAAGAGCAACAAAAATGAACATCCTAGAGATATAGAATAGAGTGTTTCAGCAGAAGAGTTTACTTGTTGGCCAACAGCATATAGCTTGTCAATGCGGCGAAGAGAAAGCATCCCTTTTGGCGAACGAACTAAAAGATAATCAGTCGATGCCACCTTATGAGGAAATGCAGGTGCTCTGTACATGTTTGTCTCAAGACATGATTGATGGGACCCAGAGCGTACATCTCCCAGGAAAGGAGATTTATCAGCAGGCTCAATAGCAAGCACTGTGCCCAGTCCATCATTGTTGCTTCGCAGGGATGTAGCTGTCTGATCATCAGGTGAAGTTTTCTGGTAGTACGTACAGAGTCGAGCACCCATTCCTGCATTTGCGAGTAGTAAAGGTCTCTCCTCGCAGTATCTGCATTGAAAGCGAAAGATAACACATGGCACATTAATAAACAAAAACATACACAATCAAAACAACAAGTACAGCATATGGCCATTTAAATGATCAATATCAGATTCTGCATGCAGTAAAGTAATGTTCACCACTTGGCCAAAGTAGCAGTAAAAGTACCAATGTGACTTTCATATAGGAGTACAAGAATTTGCATATGTACACGCTTATGAAAACTACTATGCGTGTGGTATTAAAGGAAATATTAAGATTGGACTTACTCCATCAAAAATACATGTCCATCCTTAACGGACAAGTCAGCTCTTTTCCTGAATGCCCCTGGAGGACGTAGGGCCTTGTCCTTGCCAGGTAACCTCTGCGCTTTCGGCCATAGATGTACTTCAGTGCGAACAACATGCAGAATAGAGTTTGGCCGCACGTTTTGCATGGCCAAGGAAATGTCATCCTGAAGCTCTTTTCCAGAACCAAACAATTTGATCTTTTCAGATGGTCGGAATTCTGCATGTAGTAAAGTTAAGGCACCATAAAGTAACCATTGATGCCCTTCTAAACAAAAGAAAATAAACAAAATGGAACAGGATAATGAATGAGTACTAGCCTAATTTCTTGGAAGCTTTTGATTTTACTGATAGTGGAGTTTTGTCTGCATTGACGAGAAGTTTCACTCCTTTTCCTGCCAAAGTCATTACTATAACAGTCATTGACCCATGACTACAAGCAGCTCCTTGCAACTCAACAGCAAGTTTATTTTCATGGGGGTACCACTTAGCTCTTGGTCTATGGAAGTTTGCAATTTCATCACTGCATGCAAGTTCAGAAAAAAACTTATTAGGAATGAAGTCAGCAAAGAACAAACAAGAATAGTCAGTAGGTTAGCCACGTATGATAACTAAATCCCCAGAAGTATACTTGCTAAATATAGCTAAGAACAAGAGTGTACGGAGCCAAGACTCACAAACAGATCTGATTTTTTTCACAGGAAAAACTCAGTGGAAAGGCATTTTACAAGAATTACAATCTCATAATTTCGAGTTCCAAATAGTGTTGTCTTTATAGTATACGAGCAGCTGTCACAAGTTCAAACTATATCCAACTACGGATCTCCAAAATAAGCAGGAAGTTCATATTATATTATACAAAAATTGTCATGGAACAGTAGAATAAGAAGCCCAGTCGCAGAAACCAGAAGATCAGCGAGGCAGTGGTAAAATATATATGCATGTACACATGCAAAAGGTACCCAAATCTATTGTTACAGAAATATTTCCCCAAGATAACAGAGCAGCCGGTCGTTCACTTGGCCATACCTTATTGATGAACAACTGATATGTCACACTATTTCTGTTGAACTGTTTTAAAATGATCTGTCACCCAATTTAAAAAAAAAATCATGCAACCCCATGACCAATAATTATCCCCGTGATGAAATAAGTGTACAAATATTGCAAGATTCATCAAATACAAGTTTGTCAATCCAAAATGAGACGAGAATCATAGATGTGGAATTATATGGAAATGGGGGAGAGACTCATACATGCTCAGGTTTAGCTTCATGGTCTGCAGCTTCTGAGCAGGAACAGAGTGTACCACCTTTATGCCCATTGAAGAACGCTTTTTAGTATGAGATTTAGCTTGCTGTGAAATCTCCTTGTTGGAATAAAATTTGTCATTGGAGATGTTGAATTGGCCATCGAATGTAACTATTTGGTTGTTATGGCCAAAATTTTCCACTGTTGAAGTCCTCACTGACCGACTAACAATCATTGCAAAAGCATGAGAGCGGAGGTGATCCCTGTTCTCTTCATCTAAAATCTCAAAAAGCATCTGGTCATCTTTCAGGTCCATGATTAGCTTAGGCTTAGGAGCATCCTCACTGTGATCCCAAATTATGTTGTCCAACCAAGATCCTTCCAACAGTTCCTTGTTCAGTAGAGAGAGGTTGCTTAAACACTTCATTGTAACGATTTTAACTGTTCCATTTATGTTATTTGGTTCTGTATGGTCTAGGTCATTCTTCTCCGGACTTGTCTCCTTTGTCAATGGAGGGTAACTATTCTCAGGGGAATGATAACTAGCTGAAGCAGGCATTTCTGTATATCCAAAAGACTCTGGAGAATCATTATTTCTACTCTGTACATCACAATACCTGGACACATAACCATAATCCTTAGCCTCGTCTTCACTGTGAGTATCAGAGCTCTCTTCAGATATTACACAGCTTTTTAAACAAGACCGACTTTCACTTGCTGGTGAATTGCCCCAAATGATACCATTTTCCCAGTCTTCGTGCTCAAGTGGATAAACATCAGGACAAACTGGAGCTTGTTGAGCAGTAGGGAAATCTTTGTGTGCTTCCTTCATTGGTTGTTCAGAAAGGCACGAATCTTTGAACCCAAAAGTATCACTAGAAATTAACTCATCACTGTCACTCTCAACAAAATCTTCATTCATCTTGATATGCTTCAAAGATGAGACATCTTGAATAGCACACCTTAGAAATACTTCCTCGTCATCTTCAACAATGTCAGAGATGTTTGTGATCCGGACATCTAGAAACAATTAATACCAGAGAGAGGTCTATGGCCAGTCAGAAGTGATAAAAGAAATTAAACTAGTGTTCTATTAAATTGGTCGCACAGATATGATTTTTTGGGGAATTTTTAAAATGCACAAATGTGACTTTCCAAAATCACATGCACCGACCCATACAACCACATATATTCTCCCTATTAAGTTAGGACTGGGCCTCAGGTAAATGATCTAAGATCAGAAATCAGACAAGCAGTAATAAGCATAAACTCTCGACATGGTTTGTGCTAATTAAATTCATTTATATTCAGATTTAACAACCTAAGCAAAAACAGTAAATAATTCTATGTAACCATTACTTTCAGATTAATATGCGTCCAATCACACACCAGCTATGTATACAATACTGTCAAGGGGTCATGACGATCTTCTTAGATTAGTTTCTTATAGTGAGCCTGTTGAATACCTTTACTCACTGGCCGCTTATGGTGATCTGTCTTGGCTTTTCTTACAGGCTCCTGTACACCAAAAACTTCAGAGAACTTCAAGATCGCACTCCCATGCTCTATGCATAAAACAGGGAGGGAAGTCGCAGATTTAGACTCCAGTTGATCTTCTTCAATGTCAATTTCTTCCTGCTTTATTAGAGACGAGCAGTCCAGTAAGACAGGTAGATATATCATTACAAAGCAACTTCAGATTTGTGAGTAGAAATATGTTGAGGCAATTAACTACAGCATGAGAAGTGTCTACAGCATGAGCAGTCCAGTAAGACAGGTAGACATATTTTTCTACTGGAGTCCATAAAGGTGATGAATGGGAGAAGAGGTCACCGGTGATGGATCTGGGAAGGAGCTCGCTGTGCTGGATCTGTAAAAGGAGGCCACCAGAG